ACAAACAAGTTTGTTTACATGTTAGGAGATAATGCTGCCCTCTTCTTGTTTACAATGTCACCTGACAGTGAGAAGAGACGTTCACATGGCATTGTTGTAGCCGGAGTTGCAAGATATTTACATGCCAGATGCACTAAAGATTCATATGTCCCTTCATGCTTCAACCACCATTCCAGGAGACGTGTCCATGCTGATGATGGGTTCTGCTCAATAACTATCCAAAGCAGTACAGAACACCACATGTTCATTTTCATCATCCTGAGTCAGATGCTACCAGCAGAAGGTTGATATTCCTTTTTGGTGGTTTGGGCTCTGTAGTTTCCACTTCGGAGTGTTGCTCTTTTAAGACTTCTGAAAGCATGCTCCATACCCTGCCCCAATCAGATTTTGGAAGGCACTTCAGATTCTTAAATCTTGGGTTGAGTGCTGTAGCTATCTTTAGAAATCTCACACTGGTACTGTCAAATATAAAGTGTACTGTATATAGTACTATAAAATCCCTCCTGGCCAGAGGCACAATATCCTTTTACCTGTAAAGGATTAAGAAGTTCAGGTAACTTGGCTGGCACCTGACCAAAAGGACCAATAGGGGGACAAGATACTTTCAAATCTTGGGGGGTGGGAGTGGGGGGAAGGCTTTTCTCTCTCTGTTGTGTGTGCTTGCTGGAGAGAGATCAAGCAAGCAAGCAATCCAACTCCATGAGAATTAGGAAGTACTAGCAAGGAAATGTGCAAGTTTACTTTTGTTTTGGCTTGTGATTTTCTCTGTGCTGAGAGGAAGGTGTATTCCTGGTTTACTTTTGTAACTTTAAGGGTATGTCTACACTACGGAATAAGGTCGAATTTATAGAAGTCGGTTTTTTAGAAATCGGTTTTATATATTCGAGTGTGTGTCCCCCCACAGAAAATGCTCTAAGTGCATTAAGTGCATTAACTCGGCGGAGTGCTTCCACAGTACCGAGGCTAGCGTCGGAGTGTTGTACCGTGGGTAGCTATCCCACAGTTCCCGCAGTCTCCGCTGCCCATTGGAATTCTGGGTTGAGATCCCAATGCCTGATGGGGCTAAAACATTGTCGCGGGTGGTTCTGGGTACATATCATCAGGCCCCCCTTCCCTCCCTCCCTCTCTCTGTGAAAGGAAGGGCAGACAATCGTTTTGCGCCTTTTTTCCTGAATTACCTGTGCAGACGCCATACCACGGCAAGCATGGAGCCTGCTCAGGTAACCGTCACCGTATGTCTCCTGGGTGCTGGCAGACGTGGCATGGCATTGCTACACAGTAGCAGCAACCCATTGCCTTCTGGCAGCAGACGGTGCAATACGACTGGTAGCCGTCCTCGTCGTGTCCGAGGTGCTCCTGGCCACGTCGGCTGGGAGCACCTGGGCAGACATGGGCGCAGGGACTAAATTTGGAGTGACTTGACCAGGTCATTCTCTTTAGTCCTGCAGTCAGTCCTATTGAACCGTCTTATGGTGAGCAGGCAGGCGATATGGATTGCTAGCAGTCGTACTGTACCATCTTCTGCCGAGCAGCCATGAGATGTGGATGGCATGCAGTCCTTCTGCACCGTCTGCTGCCAGCCAAAGATGTAAAAGATAGATGGAGTGGATCAAAACAAGAAATAGACCAGACTTGTTTTGTACTCATTTGCTTCCCCCCCTCCCCTGTCTAGGGGACTCATTCCTCTAGGTCACACTGCAGTCACTCACAGAGAAGGTGCAGCGAGGTAAATCTAGCCATGTATCAATCAGAGGCCAGGCTAACCTCCTTGTTCCAATAAGAACAATAACTTAGGTGCACCATTTCTTATTGGAACCCTCCGTGAAGTCCTGCCTGAAATACTCCTTGATGTAAAGCCACCCCCTTTGTTGATTTTAGCTCCCTGAAGCCAACCCTGTAAGCCGTGTCCTCAGTCGCCCCTCCCTGCGTCAGAGCTCATGCATCTGAGTTGAGAGTGCTGTCCAGAGCGGTCACAATGGAGCACTCTGGGATATCTCCCGGAGGCCAATACCGTCGAATTGTGTCCACAGTACCCCAAATTCGAGCCAGCAAGGTCGATCTAAGCGCTAATCCACTTGTCAGGGGTGGAGTAAGGAAATCGATTTTAAGAGCCCTTTAAGTCGAAATAAAGGGCTTCATCATGTGGACGGGTGCAGGTTTACATCGATTTAATGCTGCTAAATTTGACCTAAAGTCCTAGTGTAGACCAGGGCTAAAGTTTTTTCCCAGAGGGAAATCCTCTGTGTTTTAAATCTGATTGCCCTGTGAGATTAGCTTCCCTTCTAATTTTAGAGAGGTGCTTCTTTTACCTTTTTTTTTTCTAATAAAGTTCTGTTTCTTTTAAGAGCCTGACTGATTTCTCTATTGTCCTAAGACCTAGGGGTTTGGGTCTGTGATCACTTTGTAAACAATTGGTTAGGATATTCTTCTCAATCCTTGCCAGGAAATGGGGTGTAAGGGCTTGGGGGGATATTTTGCGGGAATAGGAACTCCAAGTGGTCCTTTCCCTGATTCTTGGTTAAATCACTTGGTGGTGGCAGTGTACCCTCCAAGGGCAAAGAGTTTGTGCCTTGGGGAAGTTTTACCCTAAGCTAGTAGAAATACGCTTAGGGGGTCTTTTATGTGGGTCCCCACATCTGTACCCTAGAGTTCAGAGTTGGGAGGGAACACTGACAGGTACCTTATTTGCATTTTGTCAAATCTGCAGTGAAAGTGTTCTTAAAATGATCATCCAAGACTGCTAGAACATGAAATAGATGGCAGAATGTGAGTAAAACACAGAGCAGGAGACATACAATTCTCCCCCAAGGAGTTCAGTCACAAACTCAATTAACACATTTTTTTAACGAGCATTGTCAGCATAGAAGCATATCCTCTGGAATGGTGGCCAAAGCATGAAGGGCCATATGAATGTTTAGCATATCTGGCATGTAAATACCTTGCAATGCAGACTATAAATATGCCATGCGAACGTCTGTTCTCACTTTCAAGTGACATTGTAAATAAGAAGTGGGCAGCATTATCTCCCGTAAATGTAAACACACTTGTTTGTCTGAGCGACTGGCTGAACAAGAAGTAGGACTGAGTGGACTTGTAGGCTCTAAGGTTTTTACGGCGTTTTCTTTTTGAGTACAGTTATGTAACAAAAATCTACATTTGTAAGTTGCACTTTCACGATAAAGAGATTTTACCTTGTACAAGTACTGCACTGCATTGAAAAATACTAATTCTTTTATCACTTTTACAGTGCAAATATTTGTAATAAAAATATTGAGTACTGTACACTTTGTATTGTGTTGTAATTGAAATCAATATATTTGAAAATGTAGAAAAACATCCAAAATATTTAGTAAATTTCAATTGTATTTTATTGTTCAACAGTGCAATCAAAACTGATTAATCGCAATTAATTTTTTTAATCGCAATTAATTTTTGAGTTAATCACATGAGTTAACTGCGATTGACAGTCATAGTTACAGGACAAGTGTTCTTCCACCCAAGTTTTCATTGTATGACAGCGCTGGTCTCGTTTTTATTAATTTCTTAGAATTGTAGAAATATAAGGCTGAAAGAACCTCGAGAAGACGAAGTCCAGACCCTTGTGCTGAGGCAGGACCAAGTAAACCTAGACCATCCCTAACAGATGTTTGTCCAGCCTGTTCTTAAAAACCTCCAGTAAGGAGATTCCACAACCTCCCTCAGAAGCCTATTCCAGAGCTTAACTTCCCTTATAGTTAGAAAGTTTTTCCTATATCTAATCTAAATCTCTTTGTGGCAGATTAAGCCTATTACTTCTTGTCCTACTTTCAGTGGGCATGGAGAACATTGATCATTGTCCTCTCAGGTCCCCCCATAGTCTTCTTTTTTTGAGACTAAAGCGGTCTAGTTTTTTAAACCATTCTTCATAGGTCAGGCTTTCTAAACCTTTAATGATTTTTGTTGCTCTCTGGACTCCCTCCAATTTGTCCACATCTTTCCTGAAGTGTAGTGCCCAGAATTGGACACAGTACTCCAGCTGAGGCTTCACCAGAGCTGAGTAGAGCAATTTCCTCTTGCATCTTACGTACGATACTCTTGTTAATACACCTGAGAATAGTAGTCTTTTTCACAGTTGCATCACATTGTTGACTCATTTGTTATCCACTATAACTCCAGATCCTTTTTGGCAGCACTATCATCTAGCCAGTTATCTCCCTATTTTATATTTGGGAACTTGATTTTTCCTTCCTAAGTGAAATACTTTGCACTTGTCTTCATTGACTTTCAACTTGTTGAATTCAGACCAATTCTCCAATTTGTCAAGGTTGTTTTGAATTCTAATTATATCCTCCGAAGTGCTTGCAATACCTCCCAGCTTGGTGTCATCTGCAAATTTTATAAGCATACTCTCCACTCCATTATTCAAATCATTAAATGAAAATATTGACTAGTACCAGATGCAGGACCCCACTAGTTACACCCTCCCAGTTTGACACCATTGATAACTACCCTGAGTATGGCATTTCAAACAGTTGTGCACCCATCTTATAGTAAATTCATTTGCTTATGGGAATGTCATGGGGGACTGTGTCAAAAGCCTTACTCAAATCAAGATATCACCCCTCTCCCCCATCCACTAGGCCAGCAACCCTGTCAAAGAAGTTAGGTTGTTGTGATTTGTTCTGGACAATTCCATGCTGGCTATTCCTTGTAAACCCATTATCCTCCAGGTGCCTACAAACTCATTGTTTAATCATTTGTTTCAGTATCCTTTCATGTATAAAAGGTCAGTCATCCTCTAAGTCCCCAAGTCCTCTGTGTTCCCCTTTTTAAAGGCAGGTACTGTTTGCCCTTCTTCAGTCTTCTAGGATTTCACCCACGTCCTCCATGAGTTCTTAATAACTGCTAACAGTTCCAAGACTGCTTCAGTTAGGTTCCTGTATTATCATAGTAAGCACATGAACAAGGTTAAAATATTACCACAATTCAGGTCCTGTATTGAAAAATCCAACACTCCATAATGAACAGTATAACAAGTCAAGTTTTAATATTTATAAAATTCATATATACAAAACAGTAAACTAATTCACCAAAACTATAAAATACACTTTTTACACATCACAATATAATTTTATCTAGTACACAGTTTTCATAAGTTGAGACTATCACAGCAAATAGGCCGCTTGTATGGTGCATGCTGTTTTGGTTCTACAAAGACACTTACATGAGCAATGCCTTTTTCACCTCAACTTATTTTAGTTCGTCACCGTCTTTAAAAAGAAGTTTTATGTGAATTGTTAGAAATTAAGGCTAAACTCAGGCCTTTCCTGCCCAATGCAGCAAACTGGTTTAAAACTAGTCGTATGATATTGCATAGTATGTGTGTTACAATACCTAGGCACCACAGGGCGTTATAGCAGAGAAGGTAATATTTTAAAATCGATTTCCAAGATACAGGATTGTGTCACAAAATTAACGAGTGTTTTGTCATTTCTACAGCTATGATTTTGGCAAAGGTATTTTTATTCAAAGTCACAGATAGGATGCAGGTGATAAACAATAAATCATGCTGAAACCTGAGCTCTGCCGTGCAGGGCTGAAGCCCAAGCAGGGCTGAAGCCAAAGAACTCAGAGACCTGTGTTAAAATCACAGAATCTGTGACCTGTGTGGCACTCATAGCCATAATCATTTCATTTGTATGTGATTCATATCAAATAAAAAAAAAATCAGACAGCTTGTTTAAAAGAGTAACACCACACTTGGCCAATTTTTAAGCAAGGGTTTTAGAGACATTGTTGTGTGCAGTCAGTCATTAATAAAAAGGTGTATTCGCTATTCTAGTCTATTGGGCAAATTCAAACAACAGAACAGGCTTATCTGGAAAAATGCGCTTTATCCAACAGACTAATGTCTATGAACTGAAACACAACTTACAAAGCAGAGTTTACCACAGGACCTTTAAATCCTGTGGATTGTTGAAAGATCATTTACTCACTATTGTGCCAAGCATGTGAGTTTAACATATGTCTGTGTGAAGCCGTACTGTAAGAGCAACAGCTGGTTTTGAACAAGATGCCCTCATGTCTCAAAGTAACCTGAAGCAATCTGTCCCCTTTAAAGCTGTTGTCTCTGCATACTCCTCACAATTTAATACCTCAAAGCAAGGCTAACTAGTTTTTAAATTGGGGGAAGGCATGCTGACAAGAGGCTTGCATGTCACAAGTTAGGAGGGATTGAGTTTATAGGACCCAGTTACAAACGGTTGGAAACAAAGGTTTATAATGGAAGTGCACACAGCTACAGCTGTGCCAATGTGCTGGTAGATACTCAGCCAAATAGCTTTCCTGGAGACAGTTCTCAAAGAATATGAACTGACTACTGATTGCATTTTGTTTCAATATACAGACAGTATTTAAGCAGAAGCATTTGGGATCTATTTAGAAACTAGATTGCCGCTCTCTCTCCTCCCCCCTCCGCCCCCCAATACCCTTGGGCTGTTCACCAGAAAGTCCATCTTGGACGACATCAGTGCAGCTCTTTCCTTCTGACTGTGGTTATTTCCAAGTCAATCAGATGAACCATGGACACACGCCAAGAGCCAGACTATAGTAGTTTACAGAGTACAGCAAGGCAGCCACAGAACTCCTGGCACTGGAGCCGTCCCACGTCTCCCTCCCCCACACACGGAAAGGCAAGCATGTCACACAGAGACAGAAACCTAAACACTGCTTTTAAAGATACCATTAAAAAGAGATACAGACTTACAAAGGGCCAAGCAATTTGGAGTCAAGACTAAACTGACTCACACAGAGGCACCACTCGATTAGTTAACAGAGAACCAGCCTCAGTTCTGACTAGCCTAGCTGCCCTTCATCCCCATTTGTGTTAAACAATTTAGTGTCATTGTTTAAAAAACAAAGTGAATTTAGTGCTCACAAAAAAAAATAAATCCGATTTACAGCACCAAGTGGGGGATCCCTCCAGCTAGCCACAAGAAATACTCAGCACTGACAGCAGCAACCCAAGCATGGAGGCAGGTGCTGCATTGTCCTGTCAACATCTCTCACTCTCAGGCTGGAACATTCAGAAGTGAGAGTGGAGGGGACTTCATGCTTATTCAGTTTAAGACTGGCACTGACGAAGCCAATCTTAAAGATCTGTCCTAGGAACACGTCTTCCAAGAAGCAGCCATTGTGGAAATCCTTAGATAATAATTCCCTTACCAAAGAGGGTAATTGCTTTACAGGAGCTGAAGTATCTTTCTATCCACCAACTTTTATTGTGTTAAAGAGTAAGGGAGAAGGGACACACCTGTAAACAGTTGGGCTCACAATGGAAGTGCAATCTGAACACCAGGCTCCTTTAACATGGGGGGAGGGGTTGATCAGGTCTCAGGCGTACAACCTCACTACACCACTTTGTTTAGTGCATACTGGACAACTGATATGGGGAAGAGACTAATACTAGCTTCAAAAATAGGTACTGCTTTTATCTTGGGAGATCAGCATTTGATTTATAGCAAGTTGCACTTTAAAAAATCCATGTTTGTTTGTGTAGTTTTTATTGCCCCAGGATGGCATACAGCCGGTTGCTTGACAGCACCAAGAGCTGTTCTGACGTGAACATCTGTTGATAACCATCAAACATCATGCAGGCCTCAAGGCTCATTCCATTCAGAAGTTGTGTATAAAGGCCACCTTAAACACCTGAGGGAAGTTTTCTGCATGCAACTTCCTTCTAAGTTAAGAAAAGAATCAAGGCCCCACCACGTAGCATCACTGCTCACAAAGGCAACTATATGGAGAATGCAAAGCAGACGGCATGTTTTGTTACTGCAATCAAACAAGGGTGGGGGCTGTTCTCTAGGCTGCTAAACAAGTAAGTTCAGCTATTTCAAGGGATTTTCACGATCAAATGCAAGAGGGGCATATCAAGTGAGGAGCATTTACATTTTACCTACTGTCAAAGCAACAAGAGCTAGAGGACTGAACAACTTACTGTTGTGGGCATAGCCTGGAATTACATAATAGGTCCCAGTGCCACTGCCCTGTTCATTGGTGCAAACAGAAAGGCCATATCGATATTATCTTTATCAAGTGGAGTCAAAGTGCTGTTCCCTGGCAAGTTTAGGGCACAAATGGAAATGAACATGGGCCTTAGTTTGTCTAAGGACAGGATAAATGCGTGGCACAAAAGGGTTGCTAATCCCTTCAATGGCTCAGTCTCCATGCTGCAATTTCATTGACCAGGAAAATTCCTTACAGGATACCCCTGTGCTTCTGTCCATTCACCAGGACTGTTCAGTACCAAGTGGCCTATTAATGGGGAAGCCGAGCTTCAGAACATCAGCTTAGAAGCAATTTTGTAGCACCTGTTCTCCAGGGAGGTAGAGCTCGAGTGCATGGTTGGATTTTGAGGGCATGGGGGCAGTTGGTCAAAGGCATCATTTCTTGCTAGTCAGTTAATTAAGCAGCCTCAGCCTAGAAGTATGACAGCTACAATCAGCCAAGATATTTTAAAGGAAGAAATAAAAGTGATTCATCCAGAATAAGGCTTGCAGAGATTCAACATTGCCCCCCACTTTAAACAACTCTGGAAAAAGCCCAGAGAAAATGGGCTTCACATGAACAGTAATAAAACACACCCATTATAAATCTTTACAGAGCACTAGAGGACCAGCACTAAATTGAAAGACCATCACAGAAGTAGGGAAGGGAAGAAACCCATACACAAGATACAAGTAAGCTGGACAGACTCAATTAAATGCTGATTACTCTAGGTACCGCCTCATAACACACCTAAAAAACTTGTGACGCTATCCTGGGCGGAAAGGGGAAATCAGTGTTGTGGATGGACTGATGGGATGCGTTTCACATGTCCCAGACTCCATTTCAGCTGCTGTCACAGTGAAATTTTAGTCTTTGGCCCGATCAGCTCCTTCCACACTGTTTAAACTATAGCTCCTGCCATACCAAAATCTCTGAGCTACACAAATGCTCTCCACTCTGTTTGAACTTAAGATAGCAAATCTGTTAACCCTTTAGTTAGCTTTGAAAAGCCTGCAGAAATGCGAGTCATTGGAAGCTCCTTCAGACATATTAGCAGCACAGTTCTAGGTTTGACAGCACAATTTTAAACAGGTAATTTACTATGAAGTTGGCAAGCTCAAACAGCCTACTGTGCTGTATTACAGGGAATGAGATTCAGATGTGTAGTGACAATGGAAACTAGACATTCTTAAGAGTTGTCATTTAAAATAGAGCAGCTGTTAATCAACTCCATTAAATCTGTCACCACAATACCTTATGTTCCCCCTACATCTCAAGAATATTGTTCAATGGGTTGTTAAAAATAGCAGTTACCTATTAAACATGTAGTTTATCAACAATTATAATGTAAAATTTTAAAGATAAAATTGTTTAAGCCCAATTCACTTGGTAATTCTAGAGCAGTTACTGCCTTGTAGGTAGCTAATTCAAAGAGCAACTTATTGGTTAGCTACTTTGAGGGAAAGGCACCTGCTGGTGACCTGAATGAGTCTTCAAAACATTGGCTTTGACACAAGATACCAACATGATTTTCAGTATAGGCTCCCATCTGCCACTTTTATAAAACTGATAGTACATCACATTATAGGGCTCTCCTGCTTAAACATGCTGCAAGCATTTCCTCTTTGTCCTTGCTGGAGACAAAACAACAGAGGACCCTTGTCAGTGACCTGCATGGGACAAATGAGGGAGAGCGAAGAGCTTTTTTTTTTTAAAAGCATATGTTCAAGGCCTCCACCTGATTGTAGGCCTGCCTGTGACCCATTTCCTGACTAGTCAGTTGAACAATAACTTATGAAGTTTATAAAAAAGCTGTCCCTCGCAAACGTCTTCATGATGTCACTGTAAAATACAATTATTAGTTGTTTCTTGCAAAAGAATTGAGCAGATCACCAAGTCTGGCTAAAGATTGTTGCACAATACTGGGTAGTACCTTTTGAATTCTGCACTAGTAATTACTAGTACCACAGATGACTAGCTTTATTGTACTATTTTTACATAGGGGAATCCAGTAGGGCTTGAATTTAAAAGTATGTCGTAGCCAGGTAAATGTATTTACCACTTTAGAATGTGTGTGTCTTCGCAAGAGGAAATCTTGCTGGATTGAGGTTATTTAGATTTTCTAGTGGAAACTTTCAATGAAGTTTCACGCTATAACTGGACAATGCATGTTATAACTACACCTGAAAGGTGTATATTCACCTAACACAGTAGATAGCTAGTGTCTCCAAACTACTCTTAAGATGGTTTAATCATGCACCAAACAAAGACACAGGTCCACTCAAACCTGTTTCAAACTAATTTAAGTATTGCACTAAAAACAGTGGTGCACTTGAATCCTTGAAGCAGTCAGTAATATGGCATAGTGTCAACTTACATCAAGGTGTCTCATTTTGCGTTAAAGTAGTTAAGCACATCATATTCCAGTCTAATTTTTGTTTGTCGTTATGGTCAGAAGAGTGACTAAATTACATTTTCCATTTACAAATACAGAGCCATATTGATTACTTTTGACAAAGACAAGTTTGCTATTTTTTACCGCTCTTTGTTTTGCAGAATTAATATAGCTATGGAATACTGACCTGAATTGTTTTCTAGTTCCCTCATCAAAACTGTTAACCAACTATAAAGTCTTGATGGTTGGATGATAATGCTTGAGCAAGAAAGCGTCTTACATTACAGAGCCTTAGAATACACAGGGCTTGCAGTGAGTAAAACATGAGCTAGATCCTTAGCTATGGCTGAGAGGTGCAAAGCCCTATTCTGACTTGTGCTTCATGACCTGTGCACAAAAAATTCTCCTCTGCATTTCCTCAATCACAGGGCTACTGTGTGAAGGGATGGTCCCATACCAAAGCTAGGCTGCTCTTACACCTAATGGCCCCAAGGGGACAAAACAGCACCTGAGGATTGATGCAGTCTAGGGGCATCATGATCATGCAGCCCTATGTCCCTACCTTCCTCCTAGGGACCTAACAGGCCAACTTTATGGTACAGAGCAGTCACAGCATGCCAGAAGAACTGGTTGTTTTACTACTATTACAAAAAAATGAAACTTGTTAAGAATTGTCGATATTAAACATGGAAATGCATGCTGCTATTTTTCAGGGTGCAACTGTAACAATGAGAGTTGCTTTGGAGAACCTCATATTCATTAGCTCAGTTCTTTTAAAAATCAATAAGGTGACCAAGAATAAAAGACCTCAAATGTGCGTTAAAAAGAAGAGCAGCCTCATGCTCCAGTACTGCAGTTAAAGCTACGACAGGCTTCATATGTAAAACCGAGGTAACTTTTCAATAATATCTGGTTCTAAAAAGGGAATGTTTTCTCAAGAGTTAAATGGGCAGCACATTATTCCAAATAGAATACTCAGTAAAATAATGAAGAACAGAAAGAATCAACTGGGAAGTTAGGCAGTTTGAGTTGACCTGCTATAGCTCTAAAGCCTTCTGTTGAATAGAAACTACTGCAAAGTCTAAATACAGTATCTGAATGCTTAAGTAATGAAGAGTAAACACCTTTAGATCTCGTTTAACCAAATAAAGAGGCACGCCCAGAAGAAATATATTCCTCTAGACCCTTAAGCCACAATTTGTAACACCTCATGTTGAAGCATTTACCTTTCCAAATGCAATTACCGTAACAGAATCCTCATCTGTAACAATGCAGAACATTCAAGACAGGACTTGATATTAAAAAAAAATATATATATATCACTAAATGTTAAAAAAAAGTAAAATTGGTCCATGGTGAGTAAGACTTTTCTAACTAGACAATTAACTTCTGTTTACATTTGAGAAGTAGTGGAAGTGTAATTTTAAAATAAATAAATTTTTCCTATCTGTAGCTCCTTACTGGTTTACTTCACCAAACATTTTATATGCATTATATATAACTAGAATACAACCACATCCTTTTCACTCCTGAAGCCAGCACAAAAAGCTACAAGGGCAGCAGATTTCTGCATTAAGAAGCTGCGTATACTGCACACAGAGAAATGAACTTCTGCAAGCCACAAAAAGAAGGATTCTAGATTTTATCCAAGTTAAACACGTGAAAACTCCAGAGCAGGGTTCTTTTTAGACCAGCATTTCTCTTGGGATTAAATGCTGAAGTGTTCCTTTTTTGACATGTCATTACAGTTTTAAAGGGGACAAGAACTACAGAGATGCGACTGACTTGGTCTAGTTAGAGAAAGCCCTTCTGATTTTTTTTTTTTTTTTTTAATAAAATCAAACTATGGTACCAATTGCACAATAAACATTTGTGTTTGAAAGTTCCCTGGCAAGAAAAAAAAAAGACTACAGCATTGAAATAAAAGGCAGATCTTAAATTTTGTTTATGTACCTCATTGTAGACGACAAGGTTGGAATTATCTGTACACAAAGAAAGGCACCTGATAGTTAACTACGTAAGTTTAGAGAGCTAGAAAGTCAACAGTTCACATCAACATTATTCACAGCCTCTTGCAATTTCACACATGTATACCATCGCCTGAAATGGGCAACTAATTTTGACAGTTTACACATACTATATATAAATTAATATAGGCTAAAGATCCCATTAACAGATTAAAAATGGGCTAGTTTACAGCAGGGTCCTGCTGTCCAAATGTACCAGTGCAGCTGTAAAATTGGGATCTCAAGAGTGCTGGCTCTTCTTGTGTAAGAAGTGTAAGGTCAGCTGTTAGGAAGTAATCAAGCAGCTGCTCTACCACCAAATATTTTGCTAAACAGTTTAATCAGCTTCCACACATTTGGAGACAGATAAAGCCCTGTGATCTGAGAGACTGGAGCTTTACAAATACTGCCAGCTGCAGGTGTGAGAACAGTGATGAATTTCCATAAATGACACCTCACTAGAGCACCCACTATGTGCAGATATGTGGTCAGATGTTCTAGTACATGCCTCAAACCGTATTACTGTGGAAGTCAGTTTCCCATGATGTAAGACACTGTATATGTAGTGCAAAACAAAATCTTGTCCTCATCAGCCAGGCCTTAATTTTCTCCTCCATTTGACTTCAGAGTGTCAGGACAGAGGACTCATATAGCCTGGTGGGTTTCATTTATAGTTCTACTGCATTTCATTTATAGTCCTAGACTTGCATGTCTCAAGAGACTGATGCAAGACCTTCAGACAAGAGTTGTGCATCCACACTGATAAGTGGACTCCAGATCCTTGGCAAACACTGCACATGCAAGCAAGATCTGGTTACATATTTAAAGATTACATGTGGAATTGTGATTAATATATTGCCATTTATTCTCTAGTACAACTACCAACCTCATTATAATTTACATTAGTTTGACTGGTTAACTCAGCACCTCCAAACTGCAGAGAAAGGCAGTCTGTACAGTTACTGTCCTTGCAAAACAACAGTTTTCATTAAAAGTCTTCCTTACATAGTTTGTCAAAGTTAGATTTTTCTAAGATAGGAAGGTGACTGTGTTATTCAACTTTCCAAACTAGGTGTCAAACCCTACAACGGCCACTTTTTTCAGTAGTGTTACTCGTCAAATGATTCAGTAGCTAACATCAATGTTTGACTCCTTCTGCCTCCATGACTGGCGAGTTTCAGCATTCCTGAGCCAAGTGAATAGCATGGGTCCTAAAACCACACACAAGAGCCATAAAGATAAAATAAAAGCTTGACTTATAACCCCTGGGTAGATTTCAACAAGACAAGGGGTACTCTTCTTCACTGCAACATAATATCCTTCAGATTCTCTTGAAGGATTGTGTCCTTCACTGCATGAAACACGAAGCGGATATTTTCAGTGTCTATGGCAGTTGTGAAATGATGGAAGAGTGGCTTACTGCGGTTCCGGCGCTTTCTGTCAAAACACTGCACCAAGTAACGCTGAACATCTTCTAGCCTGTGAGGATCACCCTTGAAGTCTGAGAAATACTTCTTAATGCTGACTGTCTTTACCTTCTCTACAAGGAGATCCATTTTGTTCAGGAATAGGATGATAGAAACATTAAAGAAGAGCTTGTTATTGACTATTGTCTCAAAGATGTTCATGGACTCCACCAGTCTGTTTGTGCGTCTGTCTTCCATGAGAACCTGGTCATATTCACTGGAGGAAACCATGAACAAAATAGAAGTTATCCCATCAAAGCACTGGAACCACTTCTGACGCTGAGACCTCTGTCCACCCACATCCACCATCTTGAAAGGGATTTTTTTAATGATGAAGTCATGCTCTACGATCCCCTTGGTGGCTTTTCTGGCCAACAGAATATCTTGTTTGCTGGGGAAATAATTCTGTAAGAGAAAAGAGAATAGTGACAAATTGCCTCAGATCTTCCTTTTAAAATATGCAATATCAGCTGGCATTTTAAAAATAAAATTGATCATATCTCAATGTAATGATAGCTGTGGGGAGCTATAATGTTCCAGTTCTAGGAGCTCTAGGTGACATCTGATACTGAGTGACCAAGTGAAGGACTTACTATACAAGGTCAAAATTAATGGACTTGTTGACCAATGGATTGTACATTGAAAATTTGCTGTTGAAAGATGGAGGACTGTGATGGAGCATGTGAAAGTTTATGTATAACTCCAGTACTTTCCTTCAAAGTTTCACCCCTTCTGCATATTAAAATTCAGTTCTTCCTTTCCAGGTTGGAAACTACTTTACTATTAGGATATTCTTGCCCATGAAACTATTAATTTGTGTTAATGAATGCAAGTCTCCATAATGTCAGTGAAATTATCTTTTAAACCTGTTTTTTAACAAGCTTGATACATTTACAATAATAATTAATAATAATAAAAATAATAATATCTTGCAAGCTGTAGTGACAGCATCCTTCCACAGTAGGTATGTGCTGACCTCTATCACAAGTTTAATTCTGTTGTAAGTACTGGCCAGTCTCACTGCCACCTATAGGAACAACAGTGAAATGGATGAAATTCTTCTGTCTTTCTCTATGCTCAGGAAGATGAGCAGCAGTACATCCCCTCTCACCTTTTCTCCCCATTAGACCTTTTGCAAGAACCCAAGCTATTTTCCCCATTACTGTGGCCCTTACAGGTGGTTGTAGCTCAATGGGCAATTTCTTGTAAAATTCACACTGCTGCTCAGGGCAATTGATCAGCATAGGAAGTGGATGTGGTCCAAGGATGGTGAAAGAGGAGACAGAAGAGGAAGATGTAGATTTTTGTTTTTGTTCATGTAACTTTTCATTGTATTCCTGTTTACTTGTCAATACAAAGGCTTAGTAAAATGTCCAAACATATATCAAGCTGCATAGGCCAAAATTTAACACATTCCAGGGGAGCGCTGTTTTCTTGATTAAAATATTTGGAACTTATGCTTACTAGTTTTAAACCAGGGATATTAAAGCATCTGCAAGAATACACTTCCTAACTTCAAACATTGTGGACTATAAATAGTTACATCTCACCAGCTGGCCAATCCGATCCAGGTTATCCAGGAAGTATTTCACCGATTCACCCTGTTGAAAAGGAAAGAAATGCTTCTTAAATCTTGTTTCTAGGATAGCAAATCAAGCAGTTTATTGAATGAAAGCCTTTTTTGCCCATTTGCTTTTCCATATACACTGAAGTTTAAACATACACATACACAGAAAACTGATGTCTGGACTGGATCCCGATGTGCTGAGAGGCTGTAATGAGAAGAGCATTGTATAATTTACTTTGAAACAAACTGTTGGTAAGAATATTGGAGCAGCTTTAACGTGACCATAAGACAGTACAGCACTTCCTGTGGAATGCCTGTAAAAAAAAGAGACCAATGCACATTACTTAAAAAGCAATAAAGAATGTTTACAGCAATAGGTTTGTACAATAAGTGCTCAAAATTCATACACTGAACATGAGCTGCTGCTAGAGCCAGCTCATGCTCTCTCAATGCACTGGGTCCTCTTTTGTATGTAGAATACAGATTAAATATCACTGGGTAACAGTACAGTGGACTACATTTACTGGAAACCATTGCATTTTTGTCTTAAAACTCATGGCAGAGAACAGAAGCACATGCTACACATCAAAAATTGCCAAATGAAGTAGCAATAGGTTTAAGCAACATGGGACGTGTCTGGCTTAAATTTTCACTAAGGAGACAAGCTTGGCGGAAAAATATAGGTTTTTTGTTTTTTTTTTTAAATTTCCTTCAAAATATGGTCCCTCCTAAAGGATACAGTGGTTTTCAAAAATCTAACCAGGTTGTTTTTAAAACTGAAGTGTCTTTTTCTAAAACTATATCAGACTATTGTTGAATTGGGTATGTAATATTAAGCCTCAAGGGTTATTTATATGTATCTTTTAAAAATGCATTTCTTTGCAAGACCTCCAATAAATCATTTAAAATAAGTCAAATCAAAGGTCATTTAAAGCTGACACACACGCAGGAATACATTTATACTCCTTTAAGAAGTGACTTTTTCCATTTAGAAGGAAGCTTCAATTTTGCTCCAAAGGGAAACAGGAATCTTCTTCCTCAAACCCATCTGTCCTGGAGTACTCCACATCCTAGACTGAGAATCTAAATTAGCATCCACTCCTCCTTGCATCACTAGTCACCATCCTTGCACCTATAAAGTTGTCTGAAATTTCCCTTCAAAGCCTATCCATTGCACTCCTGGGGAGCAAAATGTACGCACTAGAGAGTGCTACCAGTAGACTGAACCAAGATTAAGATTGGTAGTTTGCGCTCACCAAATAGTTACATTCAGGATCATATTTATAACTAGGAGTATAACCTATCATCTCCCACAAGAAAGAGCTACCTACTTATTTTTGTATGATCCCCATCACCATAGTGTATGAGGTGAGAGAACCAAATTCCTTTCCAGAACAAATTAAAAAGGGTACCATGTTTGGAAGAGTCCCATGGAAGACTGGAGCACTCAATACTAGTTTACTACAACTCAGCAAAAGCTTTCAGACTAAGAGCCCCAAGGAGCCCTTCAATGCCAACTGGCAGAGGGCCCACCATACTATAACTCTATCACACATTCCCCCAACACATGGTTATTGTAATATCTATCTAAAAAGTGTCATGTAAGGTATATAACAACTGGTGACACATGAGGTCCTGAAAATCATTTTGTGATGTATATACAGGTTGTGCACAAAGAGATGTATGTGTGTGTGCTGGAAATACGTTCTTAAAATGTGTTTGGGACGCAGTGCATAAGCCCAGCCTGCCCAAAACAAAGGAATGTGTATTTAGCTGTCTGACCATCTTGATTACTGGCAGAGGACAATGAAAGTATATTTATATAAACGATAAACAAAGCTATCAAGCAGCAGTTTAGTGAGCACACAAGGGGGCAGAGTCTGCACCCCAGGAATCCTTCCTGGCTCTTGGGACAGACACAGTGGATTTTATGTAATATAAGGGGAGCAAAGAGACTTTAGTAATCCATCACTTGAGGAACAAAGGGAGAAGCACCCTTTGATTTTGTGTAGGTGGATCCCCGGGCTTGGAGATGCTGCTAACTTGGTGTAAGGAAACTGCTTATGTAAAGATTACAATGTGCTAAGATTAGTCACTGGAAAGCGGGATTTATTTTGTTTTGTCTGTAACCATACCTGCGCCTCTCTCTCATTTAGCATCACGAATATTCGGTCTTTGTTAATAAACTTATTCTTGTTTTATTACAAAACCATCTCAGTGCCGTATACTGGAAGTCAAGCATGAGTCTTCAGCTATTCTAACAGGATGATGTGTGCTCTGTCTCTTTGGATACAGCAAACCTAACCATTTTTGAGTGTCCAGTGAGGGGGATTGGACACTGCAGGGAAATCCCGATGAACTCGAGAACTGGAATTCACTGATTTGTTACCTCTACAACCCCGCTACTAGTGCCCCCCCCCCGACTTGGGTGAGACCAACAAAGATGAAGAACATGCTAAGAACCAAGAATATACCAACATGTCATCTGAATGCTCAAGTGGTGTATCTACATCTGAACAGCCAAACACACAAATACAGCTACCTACTGAAGAAACAGGTCTCCAAAACCTAAAGGCAGTTCCTGATGTTTTGCTGGTCAAACTTTTCCCATTTAAGTTAGAAAAGATGACAACTGGTGCACCTCTTGCAAAAAAAGCTTACAAAGAAGGAAAGCTTCTCACTGCTTCAGTTGGTACAACTAGAGGAGCTTGGTTTGCCAGACTGATCAGCAAAGCCAATGCTGACAAACTATGTGAAAAGGCTGCAAAACACCAAGCCTCTGGACTTCAGCGATATGCAGCAAGCCTTATAAGCCAGTCACTGTCAAAGCCAATTTTAGAAGTACTTAATGAGGCTGTTAAGAATGCTAGACTCAACATAGTTTATGCGAACAAACATGACTGTTGCATCATACTTTCACTTAAGCAAGAGATACCTCACACTACAGACAGGAGGCCAAAGTTAAGTGCATTGTCACTGGTTAACCCTGAAGTTGGACACTGGTTCCGAACAAGACCAGCAAATGCTCAATATCTTTCTGCAAGAAACTCAACTGACTGGTTAGAAGCATGCGGTGCAACAGTGAAAGACAGCAGTTGAAAAAGTGAAGAACTCTCTCACCACATTCAAAAAATCTGCATACATGGCTAATGAATACCCTGATGCAAATGGGCATCAACTGCATACGTTATCTTGATGTCAGTGGTAGGCCAGGAGATGCATTTCTAGATGTTCAGGTTACAGCAGACACATCTGCGACAACACACATCTTAGAATTAAATGCTTGTAAACTGGACCCCAAACAGATGGCACAAGCATTTGATGGAGCTTCAAACTTCTCTGGAAGACATGGTGGGATACAAGCTTTGCTCAGAGGAAAGTGTAACCCTAATCTCTCCTACACACTGCAGAGGCCATCTTAACTTCAGTACCTGGAAAGATAATGGAGCAAATAATTAAGCAACCAATTTGCAAACACCTAGAAGATAATAAGGTGATAAGTAAGGTCCACATGGATTTGCCAAGAACAAATTGCATCAACCAACCTAATAGCTTTCTTTGCCAGGGTAACAAGCCTTGTGGGTAGCAGGGGGAGGCGATAGAGGTGGAATATTTTGACACTAGTAAGGCTTTTGATACTGTCTCGCATGATCTTCTCATAAACCAACTAGAGAAAAACAACCTAAAGGGAGCTACTATAAGGGGAGTAAATAACTAGTTGGAAAACCATTCCCAGAGAGTAGTTATCAGTGGTTCACAGTCAAGCTGGAAGGGCATATTGAGTGGGTACTGAAGGGCTTCATCCTGCATCTGGTTCTGTTCATTATCTTCATCAATGATTTAGATAATGGCATAGAGAGTACACTTAAAGTTTAATGGACAATATCAAGCTGAGAGGGGTTGAAAGTGCTTTGGAGTACAGGATTAAAATTCAAAAGGGTCTGGACGAACTGGAGAATTAGTCTGAAGTAAATAGGATTAAATTCAATAAGGACAAATGCAAAGTACTCCATTTAGAAAGGAACAATCAGTTGCATTCATACAAAATGAGAAATAACTACCTAGGAAGTAGTTCTGCGGAAAGGTATCTGGGGGGCTCATAAATAGAAAGGGAAGGCTAACCACCTTTAAATCCCTCCTGGCCAGAGGAAAAAACCCTTTCACCTATAAAGGGTTAAGAAGCGAAAGATAACCTCGCTGGCACCTGACCAAAATGACCAATGAGGAGACAAGATACTTTCAAAGCTGGGGGAGACGGGGGGGGGGGGGAGAACAAAGGGTTCTTTCTGTCTGGTGGGGTTTTTTTTTTTTTTTTTTTGGCCAGGAACAGGAAAGGAATGGAGTCTTAGAACTTAGTATGTAATCCAGCTAGATGTGCGTTAGATTCTGTTTTGTTTAAATGGCTGAGAAAATAAGTTGTGCTGAATGGAATGTATATTCCTGTTTTTGTGTCTTTGTGTAACTTAAGGTTTTGCCTAGAGGGATTCTCGATGTTTTGAATCTGATTACTCTGTAAGGTATTTACCATCCTGATTTTACAGAGGTGATTCTTTTACTTCTTCTTCAATTAAAATTCTTCTTTTAAGAACCTGATTGCTTTTTCACTGTTCTTAAGACCCAAGGGTTTGGGTCTGTGTTCACCTATGCAAATTGGTGAGGATTTTTTATCAAGCCTTCCCCAGGAAAGGGGGTGTAGGGTTTGGGAGAATTTTTTTGGGGAAAAGAAGTTTCCAAGCGGGCTCTTTCCCTGTTATATATTTGTTAGACACTTGGTGGTGGCAGCAATAAAGTCCAAGGGCAAAAGGTAAAGTAGTTTGTACCCTGGGGAAGTTTTAACCTAAGCTGGTAAAAATAAGCTTAGGGAGTTTTTCATGCAGGTCCCCACATCTGTACCCTAGAGTTCAGAGTGGGGAAGGAACCTTGACAGGGGGTCACAGTGGATCACAAGCTAAATATGAGTCAATGTAACATTGTTGCAAAAAAGCAAACATTCTGGGATGTATTAACAGGAGTGTTGTAAACAAGACATAAGAA